TAAGTATATATTATAAAAACAAATTGGCTCACTGTTTGTTATTTACATTTTTCGTATAAAAAAATTATTATTTAATTGTATACGGTGTACTATAACCTACTGTTACATATTTGCATTATTGTAATAATTTCAAGTGTACTAAATATACTCAAATATACTATATACCTAAAAGTTATCAGTTCTTAATAAATAAATGTGTACATCCTAGGATATACACAACGTATTTACTAAAAGTCAAAATAAAATTATGATTTTAAGCATTAATTGAGTACAAACAGTGAATCCTAGTAATCTAGATTTTACTGTAAATATTTAATTCACATTTAAGTGATCAAATTAATCTTAGGTCATATTTATATATATTTCAGGTGATTATATCAGTTTAGAATGTTAGGTACCTTTATGAAACAATTTGATGGAAATCAGCCGATTCGTCTAAAGAATTCCATATAATTTTATATCCGTTGAATACATTTTCGTAATTTAAACATGAAAAAATAACTTGAATGTATTAATTACATTTCAACAATTGACAGTCCAATTTTTTAAGTCATATAAAACATAATATAGTTAAAATTTTTAAATTGAAATTATGTATTTTTTACATTATACATGATTTGTACCAGTTAGTAAACTATCACGTTTTGATGTTATATCAGAACACTGTAATTCGATATAATGGTCTACTAATTGGTCCATTACAAATAAAATAATTTAATATAAAACAGGATAAATCTTGCTACTATTTGTTATGTTAGGTTTGGTTTTTGTGTGAATTTGTTTACCTCGTTCTAAGCTCAAGCCAGTAGTTTATTTATTTTTATTTTAATGTAACTATAATAATAAATTGTGTAATTTAATATATAGGTACATAATTTATTGGATCAGTATTAAACAAATATTATGTTTCGCAAAATATTATGATTAATATTATACTGAATAGGTTAATACAAAAATATAAGAAAATTATTTTTTGATATCATTTGAGTGCCTGTGTTAAAGTATTAAATAATATCTGTATTTAGTATTAAAATAAATGGATTTCTTAATAATTATAAGATATAAGATATCACAAACTAATCTGGAATAGCTGATTTGGTTGAAATGGGATATTTTTTGACATTTTCTCAAAGCTCTTCATTATTTTCCGGATAATTAAGAAAGTAAATTATAAATATAATATAATATAAGTACCTACCTTGTATATTACCTATCATAATATTTTAATCCCATTTACTTTAAAAGTTTAAACATTGATTACATTTATCGAGTCAGATAGTCAGATATAATTATAAGTTTTAAAAATAATAATATTTTATGTACTTGAGTACTTCAATTTAAGACAAATAATATTATGAGCTTACCTAAAATGTATACATATTATATGCTACACTTTATATTATACATAGTAGTATCTACATTATTTAATTATTCACTGTACTAAAACTGTTTGCAAATGCTTCAAAATTGATGAATATTATAATACAGCGGTTCTTAACCTTTTGTAGATCGCGGACCCCTGATGAAAGATTTTTAGAAATCGCGGACCCCCTTACCAATTTTTTTACAAAATATCTCATGTTATCATAACCAAAATTATAATAATTATTTTATATTAAAAATTACATTAGTAGACAACAAAACATACACATTTCCAATTATTTTTATTACAATTAATTTTTTTATAAAAATGTAATATAAACTATAATTGAGTACGATACTACGATCGACCAACTGCAATTATAGTGGGAGTAAATATAAGACTGCCGAGACTACAGTGCTGTAAGCATGTACATTTCGTATGAACAAGAAAAACTGATTACCTACTTAATAAATACTAATAATACAATTATTTGGTGTAGAATCTACATATATATATGAAAAAAAAATAATAATCCAATAATATTGTAATAATGCACTCTGTCACTTATTGATGTATGCTATGTGTTGAGGCTGCCACGGACCCCAAGGGGCCCCGGACCACAGGTTAAGAACCGCTGTTATAATATATTATTTATATTCAACAAGTTTGTTGTACACTATAATATAACATAATTTCGTAATTGTTTATTAGGTGTAAAATAATAAATGACCAAACAATTTTTTTGATTTGATAATATTACATCGTGAGGTACGCATATTTATGGTGTAATAAATGTAATAATAATTAATTCTCATAAAAATTCTGCCTTAAATCAGTGATACGTGAACCACTTAGGTGCAGGTCTGACCTAGCCTATCAGAAAATTGAAATCATAATACTATTTCTAACGATTTTAATGCCTAGAGTAGCCGCATAACTTTGTGTAAGCATATCAAATTTGATGACTTCATTATTTTAGTAGTGTAATATTTTCTATATCTGTTGTTTCGTAATAGTGGCTATTAAAGTATATACCTGAGTATTAGTTATCTATTATTTTAACATAATACGTAATTGCACAGACAATAATAATATAATATTAAGTACCTGTTAGTTAATTTACAGCATATTTGCATTACGATGATCAGAAAACACGACGACTACAACAGTAAGTTGCAAATGCATTCAAACAATGTATATTGTAATCGTCGCAGACATGGGCAATATTAGATCGTGTCATTAACCTGTTCGAAAAATGAAACTAAAAGTGTTGCTGGAATTGAATTTCGCACACGTACTAACTTGAGCATACCTACGTCTACGTATGCAGATGCGCGTGCTGGATTGCTTATCGAGTTACACCCAAATATATTAATATTGTAAGCATGTGTATGCTGAAAAATTCCATTTCGGGGGCCAATACGTTTGATGAGTGCAATGACTGATAAAAAAAAACATTATTAAAATATTATGTCGTCATCACGCTTAGTTGCTATAGTCCGATAAAAAGATCCGATTACAAAAATATTTACGAAAGAAAAATAATTACATATATTATACAGTATGGTTCGTGTTGGTCAAACGTTAACCAATATACCATAGCATTGCAATTCAAAAATACTATTTTGACATTCAGAGATAATTATTTATGTAAACAATAACGTTTATAAATACAGCTGTTTAATTTTAAATGCATATTATTTTGACGTATTCGACATTGGTAGGTTACCTATAAGAATTTATAGAGCCTTAATATATAAATAAAAAATCGTTAGTAAGAATTCTTGACAAAACCAAAAAATTATGTTTTTATTTTCATTGGTTATAACTTATAAGTTATGACTAGGGCGATTTAAATGTCCTAAAAACTATCCAAATTTTGTCTTTAATACCAAACTTAGGAGCATACAATAAATAATCAGTATACTAACTGGTAATATATGCGATCGCTATGTATCTCCTACTAACTAATTAGTTGTTATTACAATCCCGAATTAAGGGGGCAGGGTTATTACAATCCCAAAACGGATATCGAACAATAGTATTGAGTTTAATATAGTATATCGATAATGGATATATTATTACAATTTGGCCCCGAGCCCAATATTATCTTAATCCGGGCTTGGTAAGACACCACATCCGATATTCACTGATACGGATGGAAAAATACCTAAAAAATATTAATGCAAAAATTATGATGAATAGTTCTCGATATAATATTTTTAAATTCCTAAAAATTGTCACTAAAAGCTCTTACAATGTATTAATGTAATAATATATGCACTAAAAATTTGACTTATTATGAGCTATTTACGGACATTTTCAGTTTTCAATTTTTTAAGTTTTTTTTTTCTGTAATTGTCAATAAAATTGTATTTGTTGGGTCGAAAAGCATTTCACGAACATTTAACACAATCCGTTACAGTGACCCACTTGTTTATATATATATATTTACATGAAACAAATTATATACTTGAAAGTTGAAATACATTGTTCTAGCAGAGCACCCAAAAATAATACACTTTGTATTAAAATCCGGGACCTGATTACAACAATTTGAAAGTTTAGCAAATCGCTTTTAACAGCTATTAAATATTTAAACAATAAAGCCGAAAACCAATAATCGGATGTTATAGATACACTGAAATACAATCCGGAATCAATTGATACATTTCGGAATTATACCGATTACCGATTCGTACCTACGTTTATAGTCTCGTGTTCTAACAAGCACCGACAAGCGGCATCAAGGTTTTCGTCCTAGACCTTGTTGCTGAAGATCGCGGTCCGGAGGTGGCCACGACAAGATGTAGGTACGCCGAGATGGTGCTTATAATAATAATGAAATCTTCGGAACGTTTGAAGTAATAATTGTACCCCAGCCCAGTGGATTATTTTAAAGACACTATAATATAGTATAACATTATTATAATATTAAGTTATGCGTATTTCATTCAGATTTTTACATATTTAAGTAATTAGATACGCCTCCTCCTCCTACCGACCGTGGTTAGTCACGTTTAGACCAGCGTGCGCAATACACGGGTACATGTCCAGGTAGAGATATATTATATTATACATGAACACTGTATAATGTTAACATGTGTCTGTGAACGCTGATTGCCCACCCGCCAATTCCGGGCGCACGGTGGGCAAAGGACGCGCGCACAGGTGGTGGCCATCGGAAATAAAGATAAATACTCGTCGCCGTCGCTAAGGTCAGACGTGAACGCTACTGCCGCCGTGAACTTGCCACCACCGTCGTCTTGCCCGCGGGTATTTTAATACGACGACTTAGACGACTACGACGACGAAGAGGGCGGCGACGGAAACAACAAAATTGTACCAATGTAATATTATTTTATCATTAGGTAGGTATGTATAATATTATTATTATTATTGAAAGAAACGCGGATGGCGCTAGGCGGAACACGCGCGTACGTTAAATTATAATAATATTATAATGTAATATTATATTATTTTACCGTTTTCGCACATTATTCTCACACCAGTGTATAAACATGGTATATTATCGATTGTAGTTAAGTGATAGTCGCTGCAGCAAGTCCATGTCGAAGTCGTTGTTTTAGTCCGAAAATACGAGAATAACACGTGCGGTCCAAACGAAACGAACGCGATGAAACGATTTTTCGAAAAAGGTGAGTAACTTATTATTTATTATTTTTTATACTTTCTCGTACATTTTATTATTAGTAGTTATTTGGATAAAAAAAAAAGTCTGATGAATTTTACACAGTTATAACAGTGTTTTTCGACATTCATAATATTGTCGTTCAAAATATTATAGTTGCACGGTAGTAACGGTTATCAGGATTTCAAATAAAACAGATGTTATTTGAATGTTAACGAATATAAGTTATGACTTATATGCTATTAAAATAGTATCATTGCGTGATTAAGGCATATTTTTCCATGTTTTCTGTCGTTGTAAAAACTAGTAGATATACTTTTATGATTTATTTTTAAATTACTTTTTCAATCAATTCCTAACTTTGGTACAACTATCTGACTAAACAAAAAAATATTTAATATGACGTAATTAATACAATTATATTTTTAGTTAATATTATTAATTTATTGATTTAAAATTTTTATTGGTATTATCCGACATTTACATATTATGTTAGTTTAAATTAATTTGAAAGCTTGCAATAAATTAGAAATATTGACAGTAATCAGGAATGATTGATTAAAAAAAAAAAAAATTGAGGGTAAATATTATAATACGAGGGACAACAGTTTATTAAAAAAGTCGTTATACAGCTACATTTGATTATTTCATGTGTACCTCCTTAATATTGGTATGTCAGCCTATATGTCTAAAAAATAGTTCCCAATTTTGACAAATTTCATCAAAGTTTTAAAATGTAAACCCTTTTAAAAATATATTTCACTTTGTACTAAAATTGTTTGTTAATTTCAGTAAGGAAAACTTACGAGGAACATCATACCTATTCAATTTTTAAGCTATTTTATTTCAAAACAACAATTTTATTTTACATAAATTGAAAAGAAAAACGAAAATGTTGAATATTTTTAATGAATACAAGTAGGTACCTGCCTCAAAAAGAGGCGAAATATAAAAATCAAAGATCTTATCATGTCAATAAAATACGAGTAGGTACAAATATTTGGAGACATTTTCAAGTCTCTGCAGTTATCAGTTTTTTAATTACAAAACAAAAACAACATTTTAAATTCAAATCTTAGATAGGTATATAAATTAAAAAATTTTTAATTTATAATTTAATTTTAACAACAAAATAACTATTAAGTTTTAGCGATTTTAACAAGTTTCGTCAAATTGTTGATTCAAACGGTTTTTAACCCTATATGATTCACAATTACATTGTTTTGTTTGTCACATAATGTTATTTTATAGTTTATAAGAGTATTATATATTTTCTAATCAACCTAGAGTGATGAAACAAAAAACAAAATGTACAGCATCACCAACATTTACTATGGTTTCGATAATTCTATCACTGTAAAGAATCCCACAAAAAATAACAAATAATAATGAAAACATGTTTTTTATATTATACCACAATGACTCGGGATTAATTATGAATTTGTGACTGTATTTTTGACATTTTTTAATTTATTGATATAAGAAAAGATTATGAAAAACCATGTTTCAAATTTTTAGATATTTTGATCATAAACAAAAATTGTATCATACATACATAAGTTAAGTAAAATCTAAAAAGAATTCACAATTATCTATTAATAGCTTAAATTAATATCTAAAATACTTTTAAAAATTGTATTATATCTATCTGAAAAATATCAAGTCTACGGTTATTCAGTTTTGAGTTACAATATAAAAGAAAATCATTTTCTTGAAGACTGATTTTTCATAAAAATTCGTTATAATATTTCGTAGTTTTGTTTTTATTTTGTAGAGTACTGGGAAATTATTCTTTTTTTTATAATATCGCTCAGAACTTAAAAAAGTATTATGAAATTATTTATTAAAAACCGTTTAATATTTTACAAAAAATTATTATTGTTTGAGATTGTTTGTTAGTAAATATTATTGATTTTAATACAAAATCTAAAAAAAACCAATTGAATTATTCTATGAAAATAAAACTGAAGTTTTAAAATATAATGTTATAACCAGATATAATAGCAATTAGCGTGTGCTTTTTGTTGTGTTGTACCGTCACATTAAGTTGGAAACCAAACTTTCAATCGCCGAAATGGGTACATCAGATATCTAATGATAATTTGACGGGTATACCAAAATCCGTTATACAGCTTCAAGATAGAATTTTGTATCCTACGAGACTTTTTTTTCAAAACATGTTCAGCTCACGGTATCAAATAGACACAGCTCGGATTTTACAGGTTCGGATAAAGTTAATTTTATTCGGGATACGAGCACATCATCAATGGTGTATTTAAGCTTAACTCGTTCCTTGTTTTATTTTTCAGAGAACACAAAAGCGACAACCGAAGTCATCCAAGTTTTTTTGTAATACCAATGGAACTAGATCTGAAACGAGGCCAACGTCTGTACATGAACTAAGACCAGGTGATTTTGATGTAATCGGCAGTGTCGGAGATTCTTTGACAGTCGGGACGGGAAGCTTTACGTATTTTTTACCACAATTAGTCGTCGATCATCGTGGAGCATCGTGGACAGCTGGTATTATTTTTAACTAAGTATATTATAGAAAAATAATATTATATTATGGAATAATTAATTATTTATTTATCTTGCAAAGTTATTTAATTTATTGCAATCATGTTTATTCTTAGGTGGACAAGGTACATGGAGAGAATTTTTAACTTTGCCAAATATTTTGAAAGTCTTTAATCCAAAATTGATTGGCTATGCATATGGCGATGCATTGGCTGAACAGCATTTTTCTCAATTCAACGTAGCTGAAGTCGGTGCTCTCAGTAGAGACCTACCATTTATGACAAGAGAACTGGTGAAAAGAATGAAAATGGATAAGAGGGTTAATATAACCGAAGACTGGAAGGTAAGACTGAAATATATATTTTTTTTTCATGATTGAATAAAAAAATAACAACAACGTTTTGTTTCAACAGTTGGTAACAATGATGATGACTTCGAATACCTTTTGCTTAGAATTGTGTTACGATGATTATACTACGTATGCTGAAAAGCATAGACAGGAAGTTTTAAAAGCATTACTATACATAAAAGAAAATTTACCACGGACGATGGTCAACTTAATTTTAAGTCCAAGTAAATTAAATTGAATATTAAAAAAAATATATAGTTTTATTGAAACTAATCACATACAAAAAGGTACAAACATCCATGGGAGCTTTTTTATGAAAAAAAATATGCGTATAAACAAATTATTGTATTTGAATGTTAAACATCTATTAGGTATCCAAAATGTATTAACTTTTATATAACTTTAGAATCTTAAACGGACATTAATTTAAATAAACATCAAAATTACAAAAAATATTGTCTTAAGTCACCAATATTTTCAGAGTGCTTATTCAAAATACTTAAGTGGGTAGAGATTTTATTAATTTTGTAATAGATTAGTTTTTGGTGTACTGGGTGATGGCAAACATTATACTTATAGGTACCTAGACACCTAGTAATCAAAATATTTCATTAAATCGATATCCAATAAATAAAAAAAAATTATTTAAGTTATGTACAGTAAGTTATGTTTCTGGAAATAGGTAGGTACCAATTTAAGAAAATAAATAATTAAATAAATAAATTTACCTAAATAGGAAGGTCATCATTAAAATTTCATACATTCATGATTTACCTCTAATAAATGTATTCAATTTTAATGATGACTTATTTTCATAAGAATTGTATAAGTATTTTTAATAATATTTCAACCTGCAGATATAATATTATAACATTAAACTTTGAAGGAGACCCATGATACACTAAAATGTAGTGACTAAATGATAAATCAATCATTTTAACTTTCTAATCATTCTATTTTAACTTCCTCGTTCCTACTATAGTAATGCACTCTAGTGGTGTAAAATAATAACTTTTGTATAAATATACGTAGGTACCATACGTATGAAATAATTCTTAACAAATAATAGCACATAAAAATAAATGTACCTATGTTTTATGTTTAGTACCTATTATATTATTAAATGGTGACTGATATAATATAATAATATTTTATTTAAACTTTTGAGATTTTGAATCGAAAATCCATCTAATATGAATTGACACTTGAAATAATTCATCATAAAAGTATTTTGACCAACATACCCTGGAAACGATCTAGACAAATTTAAAACATGCAATTATCGAAATGATCAATATCGTTTATTGGCATACCTAACTGCGATTTCCATAAAATTAAATATATCTAATTATTATTTAATAGCCTTGAAATAAATTGTTTTTTTAATATTATAGTTATTATTATAGGTAAGTGCGTCCTATTGTATGTTATTCTAACCACTAAAATGCTAAGTAGGTACTTTAATATCTAATGATAGTAGATGTATAATTCTTGGAATTGGTATCTACCTATCAATATTCGAATGTAATTGGTAACGTCTTGATTATCGATGCCAAACTATATTAAAATAAGATGCCAATTTTATTGTTAGGTACCTAACAAATATTTTATACAAACCATAAGAATTTATGATTTAAATAATGATTAATGGGTATGTATGTTTGTAACTCTAGTATAACACTATAACTATATTCGTATTCCTTAATGAAGAAATAATGAAACATGAAAAAAGTAATAATCTAAATATTGTTTATGTGTTTTATAGATTTAGAAATTTTACTTAATTTCACAAATCTGCCAAGAATTTGTTTTTTCACTCACATCCTAGAGTGTCCGTGTTTGTATTCGATCCAGTACAAACATAAATTGTCAGATTACATAAAAGTAATGAAACAGTTTCAAGAAGTCGAGAAAGAATTAGTAAGATTATTTTTTATATAGTAAAGTGCATGAATCTTAAATGTGATTTTTCATTTGAAGTCAACCACAAAACTTAATCAGTGTAATTTATAGTTCTAATATTCTAAAACTGAAGCTTTAGCTTGTGAATTAAATTATTTAAATGGTTGAAAATATCAACATTTCCTGAATTTTTTTATCCGTTTAATTAAAAAAAAATATATATATAAATCACATTTAAAACGAAATTGATCCAAACCTTCAGTTTTTTCGACCAAACCAATCTTTTAAATTTCAAGGCAATCACTATATGGTTTGTTATAGGTTTAGTTAGTAGGTACTATATATCAACTCATGAATTACATTTTTAAGGTTAAGTTAACCGTCAACGATAGCAGTCTTCACTATGCGATGCAGACTGCGATAATACTAATATTGTTGCTTCAAAATGAAATACATTAGTATTATAGTAATATATTATATAACTATAACTATAACTGTTACTATTATAGTTATTATAATTACTATAGGTAGGTTAAAAGAGTTGTTTTAATTTAATTTTTTTTTTTTAATGTTTCGTATTTTTGATTATGATCAGATCGATAAATTTACTGATTTTACAACGATGTGTGTGTGTGTGTGTTTTTTTTTATGTGTGTCATCACCTTTTGGGGCAGTAAAATGCTTCGATTTTCTAGGATTTTCTCGCATATTTTTTTGGGAGTCAAAACCAAAAAAAAAACTATGTTTTATATATGTTGTTCTGCGATTATTTAAGTTAGTACTTCTTAGCTTTAAATAGGTAAATTATGTCATATTTTTCAACACCGATGAGCAAAAAAATATTTGGATGTTTACTGTAGAACAAATCACAAGCCGTTGAACTTTGAATTAAAAGCTTCACCGTTAGTGTTCTGAATATATTATAACAATATAGTTTTTGGACCAATATTTTTTTTTTAACCTTAACAGTTGCCGTGTGTCAAAATTAACTGGACTGGATATATTGGTATGGTTCGTATATTTATCGTTGTTATTAAACGGTCAACAATAATAGTATAAGTGTGAATACTTAGTACCCTCCCACTTTGTTATATCACTGTTATTTTATTTCAAAAAATTACTTATTGTACAAAATTATGTATAGATTGTAACTATTCTTTTAATAAAATAAAAAAGAAAACAAATGTGAATGTATTATAGACACCTCTTAAAAATATAAATATAATATTATAATCGGGCAGCAACTATAGAATATAATGAAAAAAAACTAAAACTGAAATTAGGATCAGATTTTTTTCCGTAGTTATCAATAAAACGCATCTATAGTATGCAGCTAAAAAATAGAAGGGTTATTAGTAGGTAAACCTAGTTTTTCATAGGAATTGAGCTCCTAAGACAATGGTTTTGTCATCTTTAATCGACAGTCGATTTCATTGGCTGGAAAAAATGTGAAAATTCTAGTAAAATTTCCCTATACAATTTGACATTTATTTTATAATAAGAGTACGTCCTTTCCCAATTATTGTCTTTATTTTCATATATATAAATTTATTGTATAAAATAAGAATATATTTCCTTTTTTATAGGTGGAAAATGAAGAATTGAAGGATAAAGATGATTTTACAGTGGTTCTTCAAGCATTTACGGAAGATCTGAAATTCCCATTAAATAGGTTTAATACTACAGATATAACGTATTTGGGGAGCGATTGTTTTCATTTCAGTCAAAAAGGTTATGCCAGAGGTGAGAATGATTTAAAAATGTTGATAAGGTATAAAAAAAAATATTCAAACATTTTTTTCAACTATTATAATTAATTAATAAATTATCAAAATAGTAGGTATTGGATAATGATTAAAAAATAAAAATTCACAGATTATAATATAATGAATAGATGTTCAATATTTTAGATTCTAAGTGGAGTTAGGTATATTAGTTTTACAGCAATATTTTTGATTTGTGAGTCTGAAGCAGAAAAAATGATTTATTTTTCAATATTGTGAAGGTGGTTTGTAATAATCAATTTTTACCTAGTTTGTATTTAGGAGTAAAAACCGGATGGTTATATTCAACTGGTTTTCGACAAATTTATTTTATTTGTCATTCATTTTTAATATACATTTAAAGTTTTCTACTTACTTTTTAGATTTTTGTTTCTATAAATCTTGATAAAAAATTGTTCCTAGTTAAAAAAAAATAAAGAATAATGGCAAACTTAATACACAATTCTAAAATAGTCTTTCTTTTATAAGTGTGAAGTTAATGTTGACAAAACCAAGAAAATATGCAAATTATTTTTTGTCACCCCTGCACTGAAAGTTTAAATTTTGATTCCTGTTGAGGCGTTGGAAAATGACCTTTTCCCCTACAACAGCGGATAGTAAATGCTTATTTCCGACCTCACATTCCTCCCGCTTGCCATACAATATAAAATTGTTAAGAACTCATGCATTTTTAATTTTAATACGTACCTAAAGATTGAAAATGTAATACCTACAAAATTCTTCATAAGTTGTTCATATAGCAATTTAAAAATATCGTATATACATAAACATAATTATTTGTATAAATGTTTGAAGTTAAAATGTTAAAAAAATTGGGTATTTAAATGAAAATTAACGGATTTTTTTAACTTAACTTTTGAAAATATTAAACTAACTTTAAATGATTTATATCCCACAATTAATCATTCATAATATCATTCTACGGCCCATCAGTGTTGACTGAATATAAATTATAGGATATATGCAATGTTTTTAGTGATATTAATTCAACCTTTACAGAATGAAGAAAATGCCAAAATTTATTTACCATAAAACCTATATAAACTTAAAAATAACCTATAAACTATAAATTGATAATGATACTCATATCTAATAGTAAACAATGATTTTTTTTAATTTAATTTATGTTTGACACACACATTACAGTGACAAATCCAATGTCAAGGTACATTTGAAACCTACTACACCTATATCGGAGAGAGTTTTCCGGTTTTTTTATAATTATTTTGCGACTTCGACCAATAACATTTTTAATCTAAATATTATACTATTACAAGTTTGAATTTTTATATAATATACTACAATTATAGATGTCAAGATTAAATAATAATTATTCAATATTATTTCTTACATTAAAATATAACCTATAATAGGTACGTATTATACATTTATATAATTATATGCAACTAAGGATTTCTTTCTCATGAAATAAATTATACTCATATATTATTTAATACCTATTTAAACTCCCGTTTAATAACCAAAGAAATTCAACAACGGATATTTGTCAGTCTCAGTTATAACTGACATATAAGTTACAAAAAATTTAAATTAATTAAATAGTTAACTATATAATTTATATATACGTATTCGTTTTGTTGTCAAATCCTGGTCTGAGAATGAAAAAATGAATCAAAAAAACTGATGCATTATATTTTAACATTGTTGTATTTTAGCTGCGAACGCCTTATGGAACAATATGATGGAACCAGTTGGTCGCAAATCGACAGACTGGTCTAAAGAATTCGATCGATTTATTTGTCCAACAAAAGAGTCTCCATACATTGGTACGTGGAAAAATAGCATAGTATGATTGTGATTGGTTCTAACTCCTAAGTACGTTGTTTATACTTGAATATTTTTGATGTGTTTTACAACAGTTTTGTTTATTCTCACTTTTGTATTAGGTATATTATAATATGTGTAAAATAGTGCTTATACGTTATAGTATTTGTTCAAATTCTCTCATTTCGTACATAATATTTCTATTGATTTTCATCATATTGAGTATTGACAATATTGTAGTTCTCATAGTTATGTATATAGTTTGTCGATACCGATAAACAATTAACAGTTATCTACATTTATATCGTTTTAATTATTGTATATTAAATTGTATATATTTAATGCGTAACCTAACCACTCTGCACTCATACCAATTTTCATAATTATATTGTAATTATATATATTTTATTATTTTAAATTTCAAGCATATTTATATTTTTAATTTTCCTTAAATATATACAGTTATATCTTAATAACTAGCCAATTTTATCGAAATCCATGAAACTATTTATCATTTAAACCATATTTCACAGTAGGTACCTATCTATGTTAACATAGGTGAGCTAGTACTCGCTAAAAGACTTTACGACTTATGTAGTTTAACATACTTTTACAAGTTTGCGACCATAATAATAGTATAATACATTGTAGTTGTCATAGCACACGTTAAGTTTTTTAATTATTAAGTTAAAGTAGTGTTGAGAAAAAAATGTAAAGTAACGATTAATGATATTATAGCTATTTACAAATATGTTTCGTGTTTATTATAAATAATGTGCATTGTGCATAGACTGATGCGGCAGTTATAACATCCAGTTAGTTTGCTTATTATTTACTAAATAGATATAGGTAAATACATTTAGATATCAAATTTAGATCCATAATAATTAAAAAAATTATTTTTTGTTAGGTTTTCTTATTTGCTAAAGTTAAGTTTTAAGTCTCAATGTTAATTTTTTTTTAAATATTGTATAAATCACTAATCATAAGTTATTAATTATTTAAGAAATACATACAATCATAAAATTAAGATTTAGTCATTCCAACTAAATTAAGTTAAGGTTATTATATTTATTAATACAGTTACAAACCATTCTAGTATTTTTTTATGAAATAAGTAATTTGTATTGTAAACAATATCTTAATAAATAAGAATTTATTAGGTCTTAAAATATTTTATTCTGTAATTTTGTAAAATAAATTGAATATATTAAAAAATATATTAATTGAACCGATATAACAATATTTATTGTACCTATACATAATAAATATAACATTTATGTTTTTACATAACTTTAATGTAGGTGCTTACCTATATTTGATCATGACTACAGTCTATATTATGAACTATTAAGTATTCATACTTTATGACTAGCTCGTAGGTACTGGAAAAGTTATAATATAATATTGTTATAAGTTCTGAAAATTAGAGCCCATACATTAACACTGCTATTACCAATGGGTATATAATATATTATAGTATATACTATAAGTGAAAACATAGGACTCCTATAATATACATATTATTCATATATAACATTTATATATATGCATAAATATGTATAGTCTGATTTAATTTGTATGCAGCTATTGCATTGCATCTCACAATTTTATTTAACTTTATCTAACTATTAACTATATACCATTTTAATAGTACAAATTAAAGTGATAAAATAATTGATTTTTAAGAAAGCTTAAATGCTGCTTGTAAAATAATTCACATACTTTTATTTTGTAGCAATATTTACATGATCATGGATAACAGGTATTAAATGTAGGTACTACTACAACACGGTATTTATACGTTATAAAAAACCATTCTAGTTGAAATTGATTTTTCTAAAACAAACCTTTCAAGAAATTCTGATATGGCTTAGTTATTATACCCAAACTCGATAGCTAAAAAGTAAAATTACGATAGTTATTCGAATCAATAAATAGTAGGTACTTATAGCAGTGTATAAATGTAACAGGATATTGTTACAGTAAAAAACTAGTAGGTGCCTAAAATTAAATGCAGTACTGCACTAAAAATACCAAAAATTTATTTTATTTTTCTTTAATTAATTTATAGAAAATAAAATAATGTTTATTTTCTTATTTTACAATTAAATCATTAATACCTAACTTTAAACTAAAAAAACTGACGTTTATCTTATATGTCATACTTTGGTGAAATTGTATTATTTATTAAATGAATAAAATTTGTTGAACCGAATATAATTACCATGTAGTGACAACTAGTTTTTTTTTATTGATCTCAAGCACTGGTCACTATGACCATTAGCATTTTGTAGGGGGGTTATGAATCGTTGAGGACCACGTGTATGTAGTGACGGCTGTCACCAATCCGGGAACTAGAGACGTCGGCTGATGCTTGACCTCAGAACATGTTAGTGACTGAGGTCAACCACCGAGCCACACCAGGTCCCACTAGTACCTAAGTAGTATATAGTTATTTAAAATGTTCAAAACATTAAACGTATTTTGAAAAATAATGAAGATAGTATTATAATATGTAAATATTTAAGTATATTATCATTTGACAAATCAACAAAATTGTATTCACTACCTATTTACATTGGGAAGGAAATAATAATTTCTTTATACAATTATAGTTTCAACTTGTACTAAGCAACGAATATTAACATCCCACTTAAAAGTAGCAACAATTCGAATATTAAAAAAATAAACACTAATAATCACAAATATGAAATAAAATATTATAACATAGGCTATAGAAGAGTATTCAAATACATTACCTACTTAATTACTTATATAATATAACAATAATTCAATGGAAATATAATGGTGAATAATTTACATTTAGAATAAATACTCTATTATAATTCACAATATTATAGTATTAACATATTATTGTATTATTAACTAAAATATTCACACGTTCAAGATGTCCATAAAAATTATATTTATAACAAAAGGTTATATATTATATATGTACCTATTTCCTTAATAACTGTGCATTAGCAAGATAGGTACAGTTTTGTAATTACTTGTAAAAGTAGATATCAATATTTATAAGGTTTTTAATATCAAAATTACATATAAATTATACTATCATTATAAACACATTTCTGTACGACGTATTGACGTAATTTCAAAAAAAAGTATTTTATTGAATTTCTTATATTATTATTGAGTATAGATAATAATTGGTAATCATTCCCACTTAATATATTTATTTGATAATTAATAAATAGATTACCTATGGTAACTTGAAGCATTTAGTACTAGCTGATTTTCGATCACAGAGAACAATGAGTAGGTACCTAAATGTATCTGTAATTTTTTTTTTTTTTTTTGGCCTTCTATCAACAAACGCGTTCTACCAGCCGTAAATGGCAGGTACACGGATTTCACAGGGAAATACACGGACTTTACAAATTTTAGTTCTTGATTACCTTGATTATCACAAGATATTACTGCGTGGTTTATTCCATTAATTAACTTATTACTTTCGACAATAATACTTTTTAAAAAGCACATATTGTATGTGCATGATACATCATGTTGTATGGCACTCTTTTGATTATAAGTAGGTATATACCGAGGAAACAACTATAGCCACATGTTTTTACTAATAAAAATGTTTTGTAAAACAAAAAGAATTTGGGGTGTAATAAATATGAAAGTGAGATGAATAATTACATTCGTAAGGGACAGTGGATATAAAAGAAGCGTTTTACGTTACAAAATATAATATGTAAATTACGACAAGTGTCTTCAAGCTTAAGGTTTTAATATTAATTCTTGAAACACATTGATTTTTTAACAGTAATATTATTCTGTATGGTACTTACTTTTTTGATTAGGAAATACTTAATATATTGTTTTTACATGTACATGTATAATGTATATCCTTGCCATTTTAATAGACAATCGATTAAGAGACGTATCTAATTCGTGATTCTTCTATAAACACATAAATATCCATATCGTTCCAGCACATAATGGTCATCACTCACAAGTGGATGCACCGGCTTCCTTGGAGTTAGAAAATACTACGAAAAGTACAAACTTTGAACACGTCATCGGCTACTGACATGTAGCGGATTCGATATATTGATCCAGTACATATCTAGACAGGGACCACTCCTTAGTAAACCTCATACCCACAAAAACGATAGAACCGAAAGAGCTGCAAAGCGGCGAATAAGGTGACGATGACATGATATCATGATATTATGTGCAATACATAATCTATATGAGGAGTTCCAGATACACAATTTATTGAAAGCTAGTTGGTAATCACCCCTTCTTACTTCTACACGAATCAAGAGGGATTTACTTGGCTCCAATACCAACCATAGAATGCTACGAATTTATGGTCGGTGGGGGGGGAGTATTGACATGGTCGGTTAGGCGAGTGTCCTATTTGACCCGTCCACATCCCTTCCTCCTTGATCTTGCTGATCTGCATTAACTATTTTCCGATCTAACTATTATCGCCCGACCATAAGTTACCGGTTTGGAGCCGACTACGGCTTTAACGAATTCCAATTCCAAAAATATGGGCAACTGGGTACCACTCTACTGTACATTAGGTGTCTAGAAAATGTCAATGTAATGGATGTATTACATTTTAATTCAATGATATAAAATCATTGTATACGAATAACGATTCTGAGCAATGTGTCTGTCAGTCTATATACCTACTGAGTATGTATATTTTAAGATATTTTTGCTAATAAAACTATTTAATTATTTTGTTTGTAAAACATAATAATATCGTAAACTTTAAAAGTTTCAAGTACCCACGAATAATATTTTTAAATTACAAACGATAATTAGTAAAATCGTTATTATCTGTTATTACATATCTAATTTCATCCAAATTTGAATATAAAATGTTTATAAAAAAAAAAGTATGCCTATGTATTTTTAATATTTTTAAACTGCTATTATAATAACTTATGAAGAACCTGCTTGTATTAAATTTTCAAGCATTTTGGCTTAAAGAAAAAATTGTTTTAGTGACATTTTAGATAATACTTTAATAGTTTGAAA